AAGGGCCCCTGACCCTATAGGGCCTCTGATGGAAACATGGAGGGAGGGCGTTTGGCTGCCAAGGGCCCTTGAATTGTGGTGGTGGTGGTGGTGGTGGGGGGGGGCCCTCGCGAACGTTTTGCCCAGGGGCCCACACAACCCATAATCCGTCCCTGTATACATAATATACATATGCATTGCAATCGGTGCGCAATCAGTCACACATACGGAAAATGCAGGCACTCCAATTTACTTAATTAAGTTGCTTTTTTTTGGACGGTAGAGGGAAATCCGAGGACGCGCTGAAAAAGCGCGCACACACACACACACACACACACGGGATTAACATGCAAACTCCACAAACACAAAGGGGCAGCGTGCGGCGACAGCAATACCGGCTGCACCACTGAACCACCCTAACAGACTTGCAAGATGCGCAATGTTAATATCGACGTGGCATTTCAAGCACATGCAATTAGCACATCGCAAAGATCGTGAAAGTCTGCTGCGTTCAGACCATCAATAACATTTGTACTCAGTCATATGAAACCACACTTAAAGTGTTGCAATTTTAATGATGGTTCCTTTTCAACATTATCTAGTATATGTTAAAAAACACACACACTAAAGTTTAGCGCCACTGCTTTTACATGAACTCTTCATGCGCTCTCCGAGGCAAACATAACCATTCACATCCTTGAGTTTGGACTCACCCATAGGTCTTGTGGCACGTTTCTGAAAAATTAAACAGAATTAAATGAAGAGGGGAAAAGTGAACAAGAACTGATCATGGAAAGACATCTGTCTTTCACTGCATGGAAATATTTTGTATTCTATGGAGATAAGATATTGAGCAGAAGCAAGTGATTTGTCGGCATAGTTATATGTCTGCTGTTATGCCAACCAAGACGTTTTGGACAATTCTGTGCTTCCAACTTTGTGGGAACAGTTTAGGGAAGGCCCTTTTCTGTTCCAGCATAACTGTACCCCAGTGCACAAAGCAAGGTCCATAAAGACATGGTTAAGTGAGTTTGGTTCGGAGGAACTTGACTGGCCCACGCATTGCCCTGACTTCAACCTCATTGAAGACCTTTGGGATGAAGTAGAATAGAGACTGCGAGCCAGGCCTTCACTTACAACATCAGTCCCTGACCTGACAAATGGTCTTATGCATGAATGATACTCCACAATCTTGTGGAAAGCCTTCCCAAAAGAGTGGCAGCTATTAGACCTACAAAGGGGGAACTGTCTAGGAACCATCTACATATTGATGCTATGGATTTAGAATCTGTTCACAAGTGAGGGAAGAAAGGAGCAGGAGATGGACAGGCAGATTGGTGTCGACAGTAATGCAGACGCTAAAGGCTAAACCATTCTGTCATGGTAAAGGGGGAGCGGAGCTGAAAGGCGAAGCTTTCGATTTGCCAGTCAATCTACGTTCCTACCCTCACCCATGGTCATGAGGTCTGGGTAGCAGCCAAAAGAATAAGATCGCGGATACAAGCAGCGAAAATGAGTTTCCTCTGCAGGGTTTCTGAGCTCAGCTTTAGAGATAGGGTGAGGAGCTCGGACATTCGGGAGGGACTCAAAGTAGAGCCGCTGCTCTTCCGCATCGAAAGGAGTCAGTTGAGGTGGTTCGGGCATCTATCTAGAATGCTTCCTGGACGGCTCCCTAGGGTGGTGTTTCGGACAAGTCCAACCAGAAGGAGGACCTGGGGCAGACTCAGGACATGCTAGAGAGATTATATCTCTCGGCTGGCCTGGGAATGAATTAGACTGCTGCCCTCACAACCTGACCCTGGATAAGCGGCAGATAATGGATGGATTGGATGGATGGATGGATTGATTTAGAATGTGATGTCATAAAAGTTCTTGTGGGTGTGTTGACCAGGTGTCCCAATATTTTTGTCCTTATGGTGTATCTATGGCAAACCTCGCATTATTCGGTGAGTCCGTCAAACCTGAGTGTCCTGTTTTAACATGTATTTACATTGCAGTTGTTCTGTGATAATATTTAAGTTATGCTTTGCAAGTTTTGCTTTGCAATATTGACATCCATTCACTTTTAATGTTAAGTGCTTCCATGAAAATTATGCTTTCGCTATTTACTTAGATCCTCATCCGATATGCACCGTCTTCCTTCCGACATATTCCCTAGTAATCGTCAATAATCGATGCTTTAATAATCGAGTAATCGAGTTTAATCGAGTAATCATGACAGCCTTATAGTCATTTCTGTTGTTACCGTTTCTGCTTACCTCCAGCAGCGATAAAGTACTCCCATTCTGCAGCGTGTGACCTGTTATGTATAAAGACAGTAGTCAGTCTGGCAGGGAGACTGTCAGATGGGGAGGGGGCGGGGTTCTTGCTGAGTCTGGTGTAGGCAACACTTCTCTTAACACAAATACACGGGTCTTTCTTTCGCTCCCTCTGTAAAAGCACTGAGATAGATGACACATATGTGTTCCTCTTCACTTGCGTTAACTCTTACCGGCTCCCAACATTTCTCACCATCTCCAAAGGTTTGCCCTAGAAAGCCTCTCTTGTAATCTGTAGTAACTGCTGCCTCTGCCCTCGTTCTCCCATCAGTTTTTTTCCCACTCGCTGTTTGCTGTTTACATCGGGTAACTCTGGAAATGGTGATCTTTGAAGTGGATAAAATGCCAAAAATAAACTGCAGCGACATGGATAATTGCGAGTTGATGTTTGGTTGAAATGTACGTGAAACCGGGGTTGGGGAGGGGCTGGGCACTTAAGCCTGTTCTGTTTCCTCCGGGGTGTGTTTGTGATCATTTGCGGGTGTTTTCGGGTGTCTGCATATGTCTGTTTGAGTTGCTGGTTCTAACTTACGGGGATCGGATCCAGCTGTGAACCAACTTTGTTTAATGAATTACCGCAAGCTTACTAAAACCGTAGTGTGACAAACGGCTGCATATTTCGTTGCATAGATATATGCATATGTACCTCTATATTTGTAGGCCTGTATATAAATGTTCTCCGAGATTTCTCCATCTCAAAATAATTCGCAAGGTTTCATTACATGAATATTTTACCAATTTGACTTTCCAAAACAACTGAGGTCAAAGTCCCTGTTGGTGAAGGTGGGTGGGGGTTAGACTTTCTGATCGCAAAATTAACAACAAACACATTTACCGGTCCACGATTTAACACCGTGTTAGAATTTAAACAGATTGTATTTACTACAAATATGCACCTTATTTGAATGAAAAACATCCCAATTATAATACAATAATTCGGCATTCATTTAAATCAAGCACCTTTGAATTTGTATTAGTCAAGGCAATGCAAGTTTATTTGTATAACACATCTTCAAACACACGCGCCATTTGTTTTGCTTTACAAAAACAAGATAAAAGAAAAGCTATCCTCAAATGGAAAATAAGGAAGGTGAATTTGTGCGTACCTGCGTATGTCAAAATGTGTGCGGTAGACTCGAATTGCATCAGTGTATCAAAGAAAGCCTGCTTCAGGCAATCAGGCTCGTTCTGGATGTCAGACAATGAGTATCAGTGTGTGGGAAAGTGTTCAGTTGGACAGTATATCTTGTGAGTGTGTGTGTACTGGCAGCTGAAGCTGTTCTCACCTACACCCTCACTGCTCATTCCACGCATTCCTCCATCAATGGAGGTCTGTCCAGGAGAGGTGTGGTGGACACAGGAAATGGTGGGGAGAGAGAGAGAGAAAGACGGGGGGGGGGGAGTCAGAGGATCGAAGTTGAAGTCAAACTGGATTAGGAAGAGGATGGAGACAAAAGTGGGTATTATGGGAGCTGAATGACATGAATAAAAGTGTAACAAAGAAGGAAAAGCATCCCTTATGGAAATAAAAGCAAGGAGGAAACAGATACGAAGAGACAGAACAGATGAAGATATTGATTAAAATACGAAAGTGGTGATTATAAATTTCTTCAACAAGGATTCTGTACTGCCGACCAGCTCTCTCTACAAATATTTAATTTGCTACCCCTCCAGCATTTTCATTAAGAAATGAGAATATTCGATAGGTTTTTTCCCGGCAGTGCCTGTATTGATGTGGCACACAAGCCGGCTGAGTATATTTATATTGGTCTTCATAGAGTAGCAGTTAAAAAAAGGAATGCGTGTCGGGCCGACTTTAAAGAAGGGACAATATTTATGTTCAAACATAAATAAATAAACACCAAAGATTGGATTTTCGGAATGTAGTAATTCTAGATTTTATGAATGACTGCATTCATAGTTAATCACCATTCGCAGTCCAGGTTAACTTGCACCAATCTTAGCCCCGCCCCTCCCCAACCCTTCGGAATTTCTTGGCTAGCTGCCCGTATGTTTATTGGCTGAACGCTTTGCAGGAGGCGGGGCTGCAATGAACAGTACGAGGGAAGTATAAATAGAAGTAGCAAAATAATTGTTGAATGGTCGCAGGTTGGTTACTTTTTGGTGCACGGAGCAAAGGACAGCAAAGTATCTATAAACGAACTCAAAAATCGTCGTGACGTTTTCACCATATATCTATTTCTTATGTAATTCTTTAAATTTCACAGCGGACGGCTTAACTGACGGCCCATCTATAACAGTCATAAAAATAGTTAGAAATTAACTAGAACGCAGACAGTCGTCAAATCTATTTTTATAGACATCACCACACAGGATGAAGAACTTTTTTTACTTCGTTGTTTCTGCAGTGGGGACTGTCAGTTTGGTAAGTTGTACATATGTAATTGTTTCTGTCGCGACTCAGATTATGTAAACAATTTGGCGACATTTGAGCTCACGTGCTACTGTCTACTGGTCGTCCAGACGTCAAACTAAATACGCACCCCATGTGGATCATCCATAGCATTTACTGTATGTGAAGTTATCTGCATACTTTCTAATTTAAAACAGGTAAAATGAGGTAAGTGTATGATTGAGTTTCATTAGGTAATTTAACTGCCTATATATGCCTGTGGGTTTTATTAAGTGCACGCCGATGGCGATTGGTTAAGAGATGATGTAGTTTCAAACCCCTCGGTATAGTTTTTTTGTAAGTCGTTCTAAAATGTCGCCGCCAAATTTGTGTCTATAGTCGTGTGTAATTTTATTTGAATGCCCCACAATTTACTGATCGTCGATATTTAGCCGTGATTTCATACCTTTGATGCCATTTTGATTAAAAAAATATCAGGGTGCGTTAAGGAATGAGAATCCGACAACTGGATGTGAGAGTATGAATTCACTCCTCGTTGATATAATAGCTAGTGGCCCGAGACGCCAGTGTGCGCTCATGCAGTGACGTGGGTATGATGTGGTGGCGGTCGTGTGAGACAGCGACAAGCCCAGCTGCGGTGCTGCTTTGATCGCAAGATGGCGAAGGGTGGGACGCGACCGACGGCTCGCAGATGGCCGTAATTGTGCCATGTGACATTTTGCAGTGGCCCGACTGCTACCCATTTATGTTAGTGTTTAACAAGTTCAGCTTTACGCCAGGTGACTGCATAAAGCATTTGTGGCGGAATTGTTGTTTGATGAAAGGTCGTTTTCTTTGACTCATCCCTCCATATGGTCCACAGGCACCGTTCAGGCCATCAGCTGCACATTTCCCCTATTTTTATGCTCCGCAAATGATCAGGAGTGTTTAATATATGTGATAAGTGATCCATCATAAACCCCATGGGTATTTTAGTTGTAAAGGGTAGAGTTTAATCGCTGGGTGTGTGTGTATACTTTTTTTTCCTAAACATATAAGGTGTATGTGTGGACCGCATGCTGAGAGGTGGTGTTTCCAACACAGGGAAGTGAAATTAGCTGAAGTTCAGTAACAGGATAATGTTTCTCCACACCGTGAGGAAGAAGTTGAATCTAGTTTGTGTGATTTCATTCGATGGGGTGTAATGAGCAGATGTAGGACTCCCAAATTACACAAACACTACGTGACGGTTCTGTGTGCTCAACGGCGATGCCATTTTGAAGGGCCCCATTAAAAATCACTCGCATTATCGTCATCTTTAACCTAAGCATACCTGGGCATTAAGATTTCTTTTATGTTCATTGACGTGTGGATGTGTGGCTTGTGCCCCCTGACTACGTAGGTGTGCGCAGGATGTCCCGCAGTATGTGACTGTCCTGCGGGGGCCCCCGTTTGCCTGCCGGGCGTGAGCACGGTGCCGGATGGCTGCGGCTGCTGTAAGGTGTGCGCCGCGCAGCTGAACGAGGACTGCCATGCCACGCAGCCGTGCGACCACCACAAGGGCCTGGAGTGCAACTATGGGAACGACATCGCTCACGACCGAGGCATCTGCAGGGGTACGAGGGGAGTGTGAGGGTGGAGTAGGGCTCTGGAGAGAGGGATGAGGTCACCCCGAGGGTTTACTCTGGGGGGTTAATTTCAGGGAGAGATAAAAATGGGTCTGTGCCCAGTGGGCATTGTCTAGCTGGTTTGCTTCAGGTGGCCTCGCTCCGAGCCTGTAATACCGTTCCCGAGATGAATCTCCATCACAGCAAACCTGTACTTTGAGACGAAGGGCAGCCACCTTGTGACTTAATATGGCTAGAAAAGTGTTTCTATGTTCAGAAGGTGTTTGCATACAGAAAGTTGTTACTAAATACAGAGGCAGGTGTTAGGACAAGGATTTTAGTCTCGCAAAGCAGCTGGAATGGAGCCTCATTTTCAACAATTCAGACCTACTCTATAGGCTCTGGGCAGAGAGCCTCCTTCTTAAAACTGCTATGTGCTATTATTATTATTTTTTTCTCTCACTCCTGCTTTGCCTTCAGTTTTACTTGTACAAGCCTTGGTGTTAGTGGAATAGCGAGCTCGTCTGTTAAACAGAAGATTGAGCTAGCGGCAGCTTTCGGTTTATGGTTGCAATGTTTTTGCCTCTCACCGGCGCCCCCTGTTGTCCCCCTGCAGCAAAGCAGGAGGGCCGCACGTGCGAGTACAGCGGTAGGATATACCAGAGCGGGGAGAGTTTCCACGCCGGCTGCCAGCACCAGTGCACTTGTGTGGATGGGGCGGTGGGTTGTGCCCCGCTCTGCCCCGCCCACCTGCTCCTTGCCACGCCCTCCTGCCCCACCCCACGCCTCATCAGAGTGCCAGGCCAGTGTTGCCCCAGGCTGGACTGCCACAAGGGGAAGCCAGACCAGTCCTTGATGCACCAGCACCCATACAAACCAGAAAACAGTGTCGAGAACGAGCTGTTGGCAACTGGAAAGAAATGGGACAAGAAACGGGAGCACAAGCATCTGGCCGGTAACAGGTGCCGTCGCTGAATTCCATTAATAAATCAGGCTGTTCAGTTTTAATTATGAAATGTTGCCTCAGGTCGCTAAACAACATCCCTAAACCTTGTTTTCTCACTGACACCCCCCCCCCCCCCCAGCGTCGTGGCTGCAGGTAGCGAGGGAGTGCATCATTCAGACCACAAAGTGGTCCCCTTGTTCACGTAGCTGTGGGATGGGCGTGTCCTCGCGCGTCACCAACAACAACAGGAAGTGCAAACTGGTGAAGGAGACGCGTCTGTGCAACATCCGGCCCTGCGGCTCCGTGCCTGGACCCCTAAAGGTATGTATGACACGGACCCTTTCCTTCCCTCACTTCAGGCACACCTGCACGGGTGGGATAGGGGGTATCAGGCCCCAATGGATTATGGGATTGTCCATTCTCAGTGTAAGTTTAATGAGTGTGCTGTGTGACATGTGCACAGTGGTGAGATACTAGTCTGCTGGGTAAACTTGTTGCCCTTTTTGGTACAGTAAGGCCAACCTACTACGGGCATTGTGACTGTGTTTACATCCTGAGTGCCCTTCCTCAGTGCCTGAATGACCTTTCTCCCTTTTCTTCCTCCTCCTCCTCTATTTGCAGAAAGGGAGGAAGTGTTCCCGCACGCACAAGCCGCCGGAGCCGCTGCGTCTGTCGTACGCCGGCTGCCGTAGTGCCCACCTCTACCAACCCAACTATTGCGGCACGTGCGTGGAGGGCCACTGCTGCTCCCCACGGCGCTCGCGCACCGTCACCGTGCTCTTCGTGTGCTCCGACGGAGAGCGCTTCCGGAAGGCGGTCATGTTCGTGCGCTCCTGCAAGTGCGGCGTGCCGTGCGAGCCCCTGAACGAGGCCGCCATGGTGCCACGGCGCTGGCTCCACGGGGACATGCACAATTTCGCCGACTAGCGCTACCCACAGGGTACAGTAGCTATAGTCGGACCATTTCTGCACAGTGGGGCCAAGGCGTGGAGGTCCCTCACCCATTAGAACCGTCTCATGACAGACGGTTGACTCTGTTGTAGAAAACATTTCTGTAGGTCCACCATGAATCGTCGGTGGAAATGGCAAGTTGTTTGACAGAAGACGGGCAAGACCCATATGTCAGCCACGTCTGACAGAAATCGGCTCGTCACGATTATCCCAAAGTCAACTGGATTAGCAGATGTATTGATTGTCGGATTGGGCCATCTTGGTCCAGACGTTGATGGTCAGACTTCCTGGAACATTTCCTGGGAGTTCGTAAGGCTGACAACAGCTCACATGGCTGAACTTGATCTGTATGAATGAGGTGAACCGAAGACCGACCTGGATATCAGGGCCTTCCACCGTTAATAGACTAGGAAAAAAAGTTAACATTGATTGAAAGCACAAACTGACAAGCCTGAACAGGCTGAAAAATCAGAAAAATCGAGGAGGGAAACCCTGCCAGTCACCGACTGAAATGGTTGTTCTTGCACTATTTACGCTTGGCATCAACTTGAAATCAAGAAAAGATGGACGACAGGCCACAAAAGAACTAGTTTGTATTCCCATAGTGTCAGAGATGGTTTTGGAGAGGAACCATTGCTGGTACCCAGGACAGGAATCAGGCCTAATGGTATGTGAATCTCTAGTGGCACATTGGTGCTCTCCATATGGTCCAGCCTTTGGCCTGCTGGATACAAGCTGAGAAACGTTTACCAATTACGGGGCAGTAAGCTTGAAGCCAAGGTTGGATCGTTACCCCTCGGCCAATTCGCCAGTCAGGCCTCAATAGTTTCTGTTCTGGGAGAGCCAAGATTCCACTGAGCTATAAAAGCCAAGCCAAACTGGGGGGGAGGGGCATAGCCTGATCCTGCTGGGTGGGTCGGACCATTCTTAGTATTGTGTAATGAGGGGAGGGGTGTAGGGTCCAGACCCAGATTCTCTGGATGCAGAAGTTCCTCTGTACATGGAATTGACCCTGAGGGATCCTGATCAGTGTTTGGTTTATTCTGGGGTGTGGGGACACATGTTATTACAGTTCCACATGCATTCTTTTAAGTAGCTGCATCTTTAAAATTTCACCCTAAGGCCATTGATTTTTGGTTCCGTAAAGTGTCTTGATATGATTTTATCGATCCTTAAAAGTTTTAGGAAAAGTTGCTGCCCTGATGCAGCAAATAAAACTGCTTTGTTCAGAGGCACTTCCCAGCACATTTAACTGGCTTCTGTAACAAATGCTTTTCCTTGTTTATATTGTCGTCTTCATTGCAGGCAGAAGCCATTTACACAATGTGACCTTTGCACTAATACACAATCCATGTGCAATTAGGTGCGTTCCTGCAACTTTTTGGGCAGCTACGCTTTGTGTGTATTATTTAAAACAGCTACATGCAATTCCCCATCTGTACTTCAACCATTTTGTAGCTTATCACAGCCAGTCATTCACTATAAAGGTCACACTGCATAAATGAAAAACTGCTCAAAGACTGTGCAATGTTTTCTTAAGTCTATCAACATAGCATCGAGTTTAAAATGACCTTCCTGAAAAGCAATTTATATACAAGCTGGTTAAACCCTTGTCTTGTGCATTAATGGTATCAGGGCCATTGTCCAAAATGAGCCCAGCATCACATCTGCTACTGTAATGTACGGCAGAGGGATTACATACAAAATGGTGCCTCCTCTCAGCATAAGTTTAGGTATGGAAATCATACTCAAGTTTAAGCAGGGGCATGACAGAGGGGGGTTTCAAATGTCACCCTAACAGCCCCCCCACCATGCCATAATTCACACTGACAGAACTGGGCTCTGGTCCCAAGGGAAAACCCAGCCGACGGTACCTCAATGCCCTCTGCTGACAGCCGGCACCGACTCCCATTTCAAGTGAAGATCCCACTAGTTCTGACAAGCTTTTCCAGCACCTCATTTTACTCAAGTCATCTCCTGTCCAGGTCCGACGCCAAACGTCCGACCTGAGCTTCACTATTCACCGTGGATTTAAAGGCACGTTTCTTACGGTTTAAACTGAGAATATTGGAAACTCCCTTGGGAACCCAAAGCATAGTCACCACACATCAATTAGGGAGCAAATTAAAACTGTGACATGTTAATACACGAGGGTCCCCCCCCCGGCCCCACCCCACCCCACCGCGTGAAGAAGCTCTTGCAACAAAATACTGACATTGTATAAAAAGTTTTAATTTCTTTAACCAAAAAAACAAAACAAAAACAAAAAAACCACAATTAAAGAAAATTAAAAGCTGGACACCCCCAGCAATACAATAAACAAGTTACATTTGCCAGAGTAATGATCAGGGGTTTGGGGGGGCATTAAAATAAAGGTTTAGCACCTTCAACACCACCACCTACCCTCCATATTAAAACGAAACACAAAATAAAAAGTAGGGTGGGGGAGGGGGACTCTGCTGGTCCGGAGAATTTATCTGGACTGTTCGACTGCAAGGAGAACGGAAAGAAAAGCTGTATTAGGGTTGCTGCATCATCAAATCTGAACCACACCCAATGAATACACCCATCCATGCAATTGTATCATACAAAAGCATCAGGAGAAAACTATAAGCCTGACTTGTTCAAAAGGATTAAAACTGGAATGAAGCACAACCACCCCAGTGTTTCAGTTTGGTTCCTAACCTATAGCCCCCAAAGAAACTATGGAATTTAGACTGAAAATGAATATTTAGCCGGTCTTACTGTAGGTGGAGATGTCGATCTCTTCTGGCAATTCTGCCACGTTGACCTCAAACCGATCCTGCACTTCATTAAGGGTCTTGGCGTCATTCTCGTCAGAGACGAAGGTCACGGCCAGACCCTTTGTCCCGAACCTGCCGGCACGGGCTACCTATTTGGCAGAGGAGATATACCTGGTCAACCGCTGTTCAAGTTCGGCCAACGAAAAATGCAGCTCTGGGTGTCTGTGACCACCTCACCCTGTGCAAGTAGGTGTCGGAGTCTTCGGGCATGTCGTAGTTGAAGACAATGTTGACTCGTTCGATGTCCATCCCTCTACCAAACAAATTGGTCGCCACCAGGATCCGCCTCTGAAAGTCCTTGAACTGCTGGTATCGGGATAACCTTTCCAGAAAGGTAGAAAACAAAGCAGAACGTTATGTTCCACATCTGCGGGACGCTTAAGGTCAACACATTCTTGGAGGCTGACGCTCACTCAGCAGGGGAACAGCCGCCCTAAATACAGTGCCAACTCACCTCTCCTCCTGGGCCATGCCCCTGTGGATCGCGATGGCGGGGAAGTTCTGCTCCACAAGCAGCTGGGACAGCGCCACACACCGCTGCACCGACTTCACAAAGATCACCACCTGGGGACGGGCGGCCGCCATTACAGAGTAGTTAAAGCTACGCCCAACACTGGCCTCTCGATTCCTCCAACAATTTATTCAATCCATACTATTAAAAAAAGACATCCAGGCAAAGCTAACACAAGCTCCCAAAACCTCCTTTCAGGAAATCACAGACATTCCTTTAGAATATTACTCTATTAATTCAAGGATGCGGCAGATATATCAAAATAGCGACAAATGGTTCCCAGGGATGCCTGTTTTATGATAATGACTGACTGGAAGTCACTGGATACTCATCTATTGGCATCCCCTCTACAGACAAGCAAAACCATTTCCTTAATGACACCATACCAGGACCGTGTAATTAACACCTTGGACTGCACGTCAACTCTCCCGTCCAACTCAGTCAGGAGCAGAAGTTCTCACAGTGGGAACTAGGCGCACCTCCACATGCCTGCTATGTTTATTTAACACCACGGTGAAGGACGATCTAAGCACGGGCAGCACAGAGTGCCAACACAGCATCCTGCCTCTCGAATTACAGACGAAGACTGAGCCGCCAGGCCTCGCGCCCACCCATGATACTTCTCATTTCATCAGAACAGGGATCTCAGGCCATTTCTAGAAGCCAGCTCATTCCCTACCCTTAACTACCAATTACACTAACTGCACTATTTATAACGATGACTAAATATGGCAGCCACAGAAATAGACAGAGTTTTACTCCCACAAATTATGCCATATTAAATCCCAAACGGTCACCTCGTAAACACGCTACACGCTATTTTAGCCCATCTGTGACATTTGTGTCTCACCGCCTCCCAGTCAACCACGGGGCAGATCAATCGGGTACCTGGTTGAACTCCAGCACATCGAGCAGGTCGAAGAGCTTGCGGTTCTTCTCACTGTCCTTCAGCTTGCAATAGTACTGCTGTAGACCGTGGAGGGTCAGCTTGGTCTCATCATCCACAAACACCTCCATGGGCTTTAGGGAAGATGAGTCGAGCATTATCCACAAGACCAAGAGGTGCACAGCCACCACACCAAAACTCGTTCACTTTTTGACATCAAGAGTGTTACTGGCAATTCTTTCTTTTGAACAAGCCGTGTTACCACATCGAGTCAAATCGGAAGACTTACATCCTGCATAAACTTGCGGCAGACCGGTCGGATCTCCTTGCTGAGGGTGGCGCTGAACATCATGCACTGTTTCTCGTGGGGCGTCAGCCTGAAGATGTCCTGAACATCACGCCTCATATCTGACAGGTGGAAAGGGATTAGAATGAGGTCCGGTGGCACAGAAATGGATCACCGGAGCTACCAAGAAAAAAAAGAACTTCACTCCATCACAAAGAAAGACAAACGCACCCAGCTGCTCCAGCATCTTGTCGCACTCATCCAGGACAAAGTGCTTGACGTTCTTGAGGTTGAGGGTCTTGTTTCGGATAAGGGCGAGGATGCGGCCTGGGGTGCCCACCACGATATGGGGGCAGTTCTTCTTTAGGACCTCTTCGTCCTTTTTGATAGACAGCCCACCAAAAAACACGGCCACCTTCACCGTGGGCATGTACTTGGAGAAGCGCTCGTACTCCTTGCTGATCTGGAAGGCCAGCTCTCGCGTATGGCACATCACCAGCACAGAGACCTGCGGGAAGCCATGGCATCACGATCACTTGGAGATGTTTAGGGAGGGAGACCACATCTCAGGAAGACAGAAGAACCCAAACAACCAATGGTGATGCTCTTTGATGAATTTGCACATTGACAAAAAGGCTGCTTTGAAAGAGGCAGCTCAACTGGCCATGCCAAATTTCCAGTTAGACAATTCTTGTGCAAGAATACGACATCAGCAAATAGATACATACTGATGAAGCTTTATGATGCATATGCAAAGCCAACAGGCCTATTTTTAGCTGTAAACAAGTAAGTATGCATTGCAACTTCTTTCCAAGTGCCTTTGTTCACAGTTCAAAGTTTGGTGGAAAATTCATTTTAATTCTGTACTTTCATTTTGTGTATTAAATGATTGATCTTTCAGTGACCTCTAAAGGTTCTCCAAAAGGCTTATAATTTGACACGATTAACAGTGGCCAGACACAGAACAAAAGACTTCATGGTTATGTTTGGCGAGTTTAATTTCTTCTGGACCACCCTAAGGTGCATGTTCCCAAAGACAAGAAAGATCAACCCTGTTTGGTCAAACTATTCAATTATAATTATGTAACTCAAGACACTTACTTGACTCAGTCATTTTTAGTGCATTAATTGAGTAGTCAAATGCAGTATGAAGGAGAAACAGCAGGTGCACTGACAAGGATTAATATATACATTTTCCAAAGCCCTGCTCTCCCATAAGACAAACCGTGACTTCTCTCCTCATATCACAACATGTGTACTTTACAGATCACAAGTGGAACATGAAGACCGATTCATTCTTCTGCATAGACTCTATTCCGCAGGTAGCCATATACCCTACATTGTAGCCACACACACCACTACAGGTATCAGGCCTCAGTGTACAATCCACCCACAAGTTTAAAGCAGCCTTAAGTCACACGCTCCAGATCGAGGGACCTAAAGACACGCCACCCATCCAAAGGCCCTCGCATCATCATACATCAAGTCAGCACATCATAAATCTCAACAATCAGGCCTCACAAAAACTACACTCATTTTGCCATGACTGATTCCCTCACTACATCTGCCTCCCTTGTTACCATCGGGCGGTTCCGACCGCATACAAAGAGCTGCTATTTAACATGCCTGGACGGCTAGAGTGAGACGGAATCACAAGGTTGCACGGCCAGCAGGGAACACGAGAAACCAATAATCAGTCATTACACAGCACACTCTCCACACTGGTACCATGCAACACAGACGTTTCACAGACACTGAGCGACACTCACTCACCTGGCCATCCACGGGCTCGATCTGCTGCAGGGTGGCGAGCACAAACACGGCCGTCTTGCCCATGCCAGACTTGGCCTGGCACAGGATGTCCATGCCCAGGATGGCCTGAGGGATGCACTCGTGCTGGACTGAAAAATTAATCAGTGCAAAAGGTTAGGAGGCTGCTACATTCAGCAAGAGACCACACCCCCTACACCCAGTCAGAGCCAGGGAAAGGGCAGCAGACACTGAAACCTGTATAACAAGCACTGTGCCGCTCCATCCTCATGCCTTCCACCTTTACATTTTGTTTGACATTTGTTTTCCTAACAAATTTATAGTAGAGGGATGGGTTACAGGTTCTTTTTTATGTTCTGTCTGGAATTGGAACCCACGTCCTTTCTTTGTTGGCACAATGTTGTATTTGTCGAGCTGCAGGAGCAATACCTTCAGATGGATGCTCAAAGCCACAGTCCACGATGGCACGCAGCAGTTCAGGCTTAAGCAGGAAGTCTCGGAAGCCAGAGCTGTGGATGGAGACATAGGAGCCTTTCACCTCCTTCTTCCCTGCGGGGGCTGCGCTCTCCGGGGCTGCCTGCGGCTCCTCGTCCTCCTCATAGTCCAACAGCTCGTTGTCAACATCGTTCTCGGCCATGCTATTGAGGACAACGCTGTCGTTAATCAACTTTCCCTTTACATGGCATATAATTATCGGAAGAATTAGTTCCAATATTTCAAATGTCAGCACTATAAAAACACACAATGGTTGAGTCACGAATTGCAGGTATACGTAGGCAGATATTCATTGTGTGCGTAAACATGTCGGACGGCTTACGTGGAATTCCACTCCCAAACCGGCACATCTTTATTATTATGATTTACGAATGCTTTAATGAAGCGTCTAATAGGCTACTGATAGCAAAATGCCTCGGCAGGATAGAGTATTACGTGCTAGTTGAGCACAGGCAAAACGAACGCAGTATAGCTAATGACATTAATTAAATGATGCTGTTAGGGCAGAAATATTAAATGTAGATTAAAATAACTCAATCGCCAAAATTAGAATTGAACTGTAAAGACCCCTATCGCCTCGAGGAAAGGCTTTGTAAGGATGTGCCATTCCGGGTTAGATCGTCACGAGAAGAGGACTCCAGGCACCGGTAGGCAAGGAAACTAGGCCATAATCCGGCCACAGTCTGTCTTGGCGGAAAAGGCAGCTTCACACATTAGTAGCCGGGCTATTCTGTGAAAAATTTCGACAACGTTTCCACAACTTCCATGTTAATATGACAGTCAATTTGACCAGATAATGGAAAATAGACTACCCTCCAAGGTTCAAGCTGTGACACTTGTGACCATGCTGGCTGGCATAAGCGTTAGCTTACCCATACAAACAAAAGATCCTGCGTCAGTTAATTCAAAGTTCGGCTCCGCATTATAATGTTAAATATTACAATCGATCACACGAATCTACATTTTCAGTGCAGCAATTCAAACCTTTTGGCAGTAGAAAGAACATACTGCTAAACTATAATTTGTAGGTTTAAGGATTGGATCGAATAAGACCCGGATAACCATTCTATGAACATAGCACTTAGCATATTAGCCAAACCCCGCTTTCCGTTTAAAACGCACGATTTCCTAAATTGCACGCAATCGACACAATAAAAATCTTCACTTTAGAACGAATAAGTATATCATTTGTAATAAGTCTGTAACTAAATAGTAACTTTGCCTCAGTCCAGCACATATCTTTCATTTGATTGCCCTTACCTTCCACTGACGATTCAAATCCGCTCCGACAATGCTACAACCCACATGGGCAGGCCTCAAGTTTATACTAGTTTCCGGGGCTGCCGCCTCGAAATATCTACTGCTTCCATTGGCTAATTTGGAAGCCAATCTTCACGAAGTTTCATTATCCTTATTGTGAATGGTCCTTTGACATGCCAATCAAAAGAACAACGTCGAAAAAGTAGGTGGGCCTTACCTTACCCGCTCGGAAGTAGAACTGACGACATAGCTTTACTTATTAAATGAAACGGTGGAGTATAGTACGGTATAGGATTATCTTACTGTCATGCATCTATCAACAGAGAGAAAACAAGAAATATATTTCATAGATGCGTACGGCACATTAGATGCTGTCCCACACAAAATTCATAACATTAATTTACACATTACAGTAAACGATTTGGCACTGTTTTAGCAAGCTTGCTTCAGTTGTAAAATTACAGGTTCCTTGAATTAATTAAAACGTTAAAATTAATTTCTTTCTCATAAAGTTGAAAGCTAGATATAAATGTCATTAAGGAGGTCAACTTAATTATCTAACGCTGTTTTTTTTGGTTGTTCGCTCCGCCACACTGCTATGTATTCCCACGGTAAACTATTAATGTGATACTAATATGCGGTACATACTTTGTAAGGTTACCATTTAAAATATAATAAAAACCACAAATGAAGATCTCAGTGCCCCACTGAACTAGCATTTTTTTCTTCCGGGCATGTTCGGCTTGAGATAAAATGTGAACCAGCCACGTTGTATTGTGAGATGGACAGTTTTCTTACTGATATCCATTATTATAATTATGCAGTTGCAACTGTTTTGAAGCACTTGAGACATTTTTCAGCAGTTTATAGTAATGGAGTGTATGGTGTACTGATTTGACAATCACCCTGTATTTAATCAGCTTCTGAATTTGAAGCCAAATGATTCTCAAAATATTTCACAGATTCAGCAGGACTTTATGTTTGGCTGTGTAAAGATGTTGCACGTAAAAATATTATTTCACTGGTAAAACTATGGGGTCTGTGATTTGAATCTGTTTAATTGCAGATGAAAAAATGCCAACAATTCTGTCAAAGCTGAGTTTGCCATATTTCTGTATTGTTATATAACAGTGAGGGCATGTTTCTTCTTTGATTTTAATATTTGTCATTTCTGTTTAGGTAATGAATCTTGTACATTTAGAATGAGGTCTATGTGAGTATTTATTCACAGGGAAATTCTCTGTATCACAGAATTTCATCGAACATCTGAAGAATAGTTCGGCGACATGTAGCTTATGCCCTGTATTGGACTGGAATTCTATCCATGGATGTATTGATGGGATCGGCTTCTGGCCCCCTGTGCCAGGACTCAACATAGGTGACTGAAAGTTTGATGAACATAATGGAGTCAGAGTGCTCAGTAGATAAACAAGAATCAGCACCCTCAGTAGATTCAATAAGTAATTTCTGATAAACCCAGTTTTGAAAATATCTGAAATAATTGAACCGGAGAATAGCAGTTACACAGCTGAGAATCAAATTTAATGGTTCACTGCAATAGGTTGCACATGAAGCAACAGTCTAGCCTTAATATATCTGGAGATGTTGCATGAATTTACCTCTGACCCAGCTAACTGTCCTCCAGCCTGAAGATGGCGCCCAAGGAAACCAGTTTGGTGACTGACAGCCCTAAGTGCAGCGTGTGCTTCAGACAAGGAAGAGGTCACAAGACTGGAAGCATCTGCCTTGTTTCTGAACAATGGCTGGTAGCCACCGGATGGGGAGCCTGAAACAGGCTGATGGTACAGAAGGTACATAGATGGATATATTCTGAGAGTAAAATCATGCCATTTTAGGAGCACTGAACATCCTGGGGTTGGGGAGTTGCTGAGGGAGGAGGGACAGACTCCGCTTTGAAAGAGGAGTGCAGCTGGACCCCAGGGAGGGTGGCTAATGTGTGAGGACCCACATTCGATAAGAAAATGGAAAAGAAACAAGGTTTAAAGAACAGGGAGTATAGCTCAGTCTGTCATTGTGCGTGAACAAAGAAGAGATCATAAAGGTCTGTTGTTATTACACCCTTTGTATTTATGTCCTAAGATCAATTGTAACCTAGTGATTTGCAAGTTTAGGTTGGCTTTCTTGAACCATTATTCATAACAATAAATATTTATAATCACAAGGATCACTGCTGCCATTGTACTGAACCTATGATGAATTAAATGTAAAATCTAGAGGGATGGTCATGCAAGGAGTGGAAACAGATGGGGTGTGTGACAGGTGTACTCTCACCGAGGAGGGAAACGAAGGCCAGGGTATGAGAAGCATAACGAGTCCAACCTGAAGTTCCTGCATGTCACTTTTTGTTGCCTGAGGGCTGCAGGAAATCACTACAGAGCACAAGCTTTCCAGCCGGTTCTGCTGAGCAGAGGCTGCCTCCCGCAACCCGGCCATCATCCTGTATTTAGAAAGCAAAAACAAAACCTGAATTAGTCTGGGTTATGTTTAATATCAGTAAAGAAACGCCACGTTATAATAACAGTATTGGACCTTTGAACCCTCACTCACATCATCCCAAATTAATAGATGAAGAAGTGGATACTGGCCCGTCCAAGGTACCCATGCTGGAGCCCCACACTGGCTCCAGCACCCCCTCCCAAGCACGACCCTGCACTGGATTTGAGGTTCGAAGACAAAAGGGTGGAAAAAGATGTAACCACTAGTGCCAGAATCTTTTTAGTGCTTTTTATATTCAAACATATGTAAGGCTCACAGTGAACAGTTTAACTGAAAATCATGTAGTGTAATACATGCTGGCAGTTTAATTAACAAATATCAATTGTGTTGTCACTAATACTAAGATACACAACTCCAGGCAAAAAAATACACTAGTGTAATCTTACCTGACTTTGTGCTGTCAGGATGTAATCCACCTGATGCCTGTCTGGTCCCATCTGCAAAGCCTTTAAATGCTCACTCCACACCACTGTAAATGCGTGATGCAGAACACACGCACATGCATGCAATGCGAGGCTAAAGCACACCCCACCCGCATCTTTAACTTTCCCATGACCCTTATGGCATTTCAAACATGTAACGACATATTCACGATATTTCAAACTACCGTTCAGTTTCTGAGGAATAATTATTCGTTTGCAGCTCTTGTGTATTGTTCCGTTGTCAAAGTCATTAATCAAAACCCCACATCAGGATGCCTGAAAGGTGAACGTACCACATCTGGCTATTGATGTAACCTTTACACATATGGTCTGGCTTCATGAAGACGCACTGTATGGGACGTGCTGTAAAGGGACGCACTGCATGGGATGTGCTGTAAAGGGACGCACTGCATGGGACGTGCTGTAAAGGGACGCACTGCATGGGACGTGCTGTAAAGCAATTCCTGTCAACAAGTAATATCAAGGAGTAGGGAAACTACATTAATAATACTTTATTAATCCCCATGGGGAAACAGTCTTTTACGCCTCCCTCAACTTGCTCTTTTTAGAGTAAGTTGTCAGCAAAGGGCAGCCACCTGTTGCGGTGCCCAGGAATCTGGGGGTTAAGGGCCTCACTCAAGAACCCGCAAATGTGCTGAGGCTGGGTTTGAACCGGCAACCTTCTGATTACAGGCACACAGGCTTAGCCCACTGAGCCACATGCTGTAAATTACCGTAAAGAGACATGACAGGAAATGTAATAATATTAACATACAATTTTATACAATCATCACCCTAACAAAGGCCTACAACACTCACCGTGTTACTATATTGCATTATTAACAAATAAATTATGGTTCATAATTTAACACTGAGCTTACACCTTCAAGTTATTGCTCGTCATTGCATACCTGGAGTGAGGACACAGGTGTAGGTATTTACCATTGTTTAAACTAAGTTAGATCCTACCTATGTGGCTGATTGGCCCACATCATACAGGCTGAATTTTTGTGGTTCAGGTGGCTCTGCATGTGCCTGTGCTGATTTGGCAGGGAGCTAGGAGGCGGGCAGAACCTCGAAGGATCCCCAGGCTCAACAAGCCCCAACAGGGCCACCTCCATAGGGCTCAAGGCGTCCAAAAGGGAGGGGGCTTACGTAACATGCATGGGAGAGAAAGGGTGCTGGTCAAGTACTCACATAGTCTGTTTTCCATCATGCTGCACTGGTGGATGTTTATAACAGAAGACACGTGTGTTGGGTAAAAGCGACAAGGAGGCGTGAAAAACGTATACAGAACGGGAGACACAAAACACAGAAAGTAAAAACAGAACCTTAACCACCAAGCTGGCTCTCTTCCGTCATTGTGTCATTGACACAAGTTTTAAACCACAAATCCAGGTCACCGCCGCCTGGCATGGAGCCACAGACTGCAACCATATGTGTGTTTGTGTTACTCTCCAAGATTCCAAACTCAGCACCTGGTGTGCAGGTGAACTCGCTTACAAGCAAAGACAGCAGCTGTGTCCATCTCCTAGACATCCACATATCTTCTCCCATGGATCAAATTCATGGGTTTTCCTCTATGCAAACTAGCTTTCACAGCACTATACAAGTCTCACACTACAGCTTTGACAAGTATCCCTCTAAAGCCCTCTTGCTCTGTAAAAAGAACAGAGGACAGACAGTAGAACAGAGGACTATCCTAGCTATGAACCTGAAAACTTCTGGTGAAAACCAAAAATGATTTTTTTTTTTGTACTCAGAATGCTGTAAATTCAAGCGCTTGGTGGAACTCTCTTGCTGCACCCTGGGGCAAAGTAAATAGATTTGTTCCAGATAAAACCATAATGGATCCCAGGGAGTTGAGGTAACACCCACTGGGAAGACTCACGGCAGCTGGTTATTGCACATACTTGTATTTGTTGTAAACTGGTGTGCAGACAACCCACTAAATCATAACACTCCACCCTCACTGTCACACAGTTCATTGACCTTGAGCAATAGGTGTTAATAGTAATTTATTTGTAGAAACCTGGCCACCATAGTTTATTGCAGTATTTCCCGATACGGTCCTCAGAGATCCACAGTCAGTCCACGTTTTTGCTCCCTCCGAGCTCCCTGCCAGACTGTCCATGTTTTTGCTCCCTCCGAGCTCCCTGCCAGACCGTCCACGTTTTTGCTCCCTCCGAGCTCCCTGCCAGACCGTCCACGTTTTTGCTCCCTCCGAGCTCCCTGCCAGACTGTCCATGTTTTTGCTCCCTCCGAGCTCCCTGCCAGACCGTCCACGTTTTTGCTCTCTCCTACCTCTTACTGGGACCTGGGAGGGAGCAAAAATTTTGACTGCTGTGGGTCTCTGAGGACCGGATTGGGAAACACTGGTCTACTGAAAAATTCCCTTCAGTCTATATAGTGTGAAGCGTTCTGTGTATTTTGACCCTTTGCTCCCTCTGCTGGTTCTTCTTGCCATGTTGACGAATGCACATGCAATGACCCATGTGTCCTTGTCCACTGCTGCTTCCCTTCAAGGATGACATCTCCTCCAAGTCAGTTCCTCGTGACCATCTGGCAAATTCGAGGTCCTGTTTGACCCGAAGCACTCAAGCATTCACACCGTGTTTCATGACAGGTCTCAATTTGCAGCTGGTCCTGCTTCTAAGAGACCTATGCCACAAACAAAAAAATGAGACAGAACATTTGTGGAATGTAGCATAAGTAGTAATGATGGGGATCACGGACATTTGTCACATCTGGTTTAATGAGTATATACTGTGTCTAAAGGGTATTTATGTGGTGAATAGTTCGTCGGGGGGGGGGCGCTCCCCCTCCATGGATCTCACCAGTCGGCGGCTGAAGCACATTCTAATTGGCTACATGTCTGATTGGTAAGAAAAAATTCAGGGGGCTATGGTTAGGAATATTACACTCTCTCCTACACCCTTGTCTGGATGGGTGTCCTCCTGCAACCGAAAAACATGTGGTTATGCAAACTGGTGTCTCTAAACCGCTTGCAATGTGTGATCATTTGTCATTGTGCTTGTGCACCGTGATAGACTGGGATCACATCCAGGGCTCTTGTGCCACGTGCCTCTAGATACCAAAACAGGCTCCAGTTGCCCCACATGTATCCTGGAAAGTCAGCAAGCAATAAACAACAAGCATTATTAGCTACAAGGAGGGGAAATGTGCTTTTAGCAATAATTGCTACATTAAAAAAAACAGATGCATTTAAAATCACTGTATAAATTGTTTGCTATGAGGGATGTGAGACTTAGAGAATTTGGAAGATTATATGTTATTTATTAATTCTGTTATGCTTTACTCATATAAAAACATTGCACTGTAAAATGTATTGATTCTGTTTGTCATTGTTTTATAGCTTCATTTCCTTCATCACTGTAATTTGTGTCAATATTGTTACACGTGCTAAAACAGCAGGAAAGTATTCAAGCACGGTGGCAATAAGGATGGGGGGTGGCGCATGACTTTATTCTAAGTTTTTTAATACTTACTGACTGTTGGCAGAGGGCTCACCAGACGCTTAGTGTCAGCCCAGCTTTTGGGCTGGATCTGTTTAATCTGGCTTCATTTCAACGCAATTTGCCCTTCCAGAGCTCGTTGGATTATTTGCCTGAAATAACATAAAGATATTAGAAAGGTAAGTGTTCACAATGTCTGGGACATTCCAAGGTTGATGAGATCCTGGCAAACGCATACATTTCATATTCCACTTTTATTAAATTATGAGAAAGCAAGAGATGTAAATATTGACATCTTCCTTACTGCCAGCAGCGGTAATCTGTACTACATGGATCTGACCACCACTCTGACCTTTACCTGCTAATAGATCAGACAAATACCTGCCCATTGTTGACAAACTGATACATGCACCTTATCATAGAGTAAGTAAATTCACAAAGTTGTTCAAAAAGTTGAGACACTCCTAACATGTGATGCACATTTGCCCAGACAGTGGTCAATAAACATCCTATCAAGCATCCTCTGGCAACTATGTGCGTAAGTACAGCCTACTGGATAGGCATTTACATAAGTTGCAGGTAACAAAAGAAACCGCAACAGTTGATTGCAAACTGTACCAGACATGACATTTGTGTGTTGCAAAACATTATCGCACCTAAAGCAAATCCTTTGAAAGGATGTCATTCTGTTTGTAAGAAACGAATGCAAATGATTCTCTTTCCAAATACTACGATTCAGGCAATACTGCGACTAATATCATGATAAGATTCAAAATACTTGCTTGGTAATACAAAAAAATGAGTTTTCAAAAATTTGATTTGTACGGAATAGCATAGTAGGCTGCCAACATGTGTCGTCCACACCTTACCAATTGGCACAAGCTGGCATTATCTACGCTGGTATGACGAAAAGAATTTAAACAGCATTTTATGATACTGCTATTTTTGATTGCTTTTATATTAAATTATATAAATGTAGCGGGTAAGATTGTCACGTAAATAGGTTTGTCTTAAATTTTAAAAGGGAACGCGGTATTTGTTGTCATTTTCCAGAAGTCGTTGAATGATTTTTCTTATTGGTTAACTAGCTGTCAATCAGAGAACAACTGTTTTGCATGATACTGTGTGATCCAGTGCAAGGATGGAAAACAAACGAGCCGGATAAGAAGTCCCCGGGCCGCGGTCGGACAGGCCAGCCAGACAGCGTAGTGTCACTGGCACTCTTGCGGGTAGCTCGGTTCGGAGTTTGCCGGTTTTTCGTCTTTGAAGCGGTGCTGCGGGCGCGCGGGAGGCGGGTCCGACGGGCCTCGCGGCCGCGCGTGGGCGTCGCCTCGAGGTCTCCTTGAGGAAGCTCGCGCCGACTGACAGCTAAGAGGTTTTTAATTGAATGGCTCAGCCGCTCCCCCAGTGCCGGAGCACAGCGCTTCAATTCCGCTCGCCTATTAAAAATCCCTTAATCTCTTATTGTAAAAGATTTTTTGTCGCATCCGCATCCACAAAAGAAATCGTCCTTCGCACGTTTCAATGAACCGCTACAAGAATGGATTCTGAATTGAGGTGAGCAGTGCTTTTTATTTATTTATCATCGATTGTACTTTATTTCTTGCTTGGTGCTAAATAATTGATTGGTCCTTTGTGTGATTTCTTTACAATTGTAATTCTGAGCCGAGATGGTAGGGGGACAAGAAAGGCTCTATTCTGAACAAAGCAGAGAAATGCCTGTGTATTTTTAAGCTACATCATCATCATCATCATCATCATCATCTCCACGTTCCGCGACAGCTATGATCTCTCTCTCTTTCTGCGTCTGTGCACTGCAAATTTCTCCCATTTACAGAAAACGGGGGTAAATAACGCAGCCGTCGCGTTTTTAATCCGTCTAATCATGTTTTATGGAGGAACATGGGAGAGCGCATCGAAACGGGATAACAGGATTGCTTATCTTTAAACGGCCTCAGTATCCAGCAAACGTGAGAAGCAGTCTGGGGTGTTTAACAATCCATATCGCTAGTGATCCATGGTAATGATGAAAATCATGTTTTAACAGCATAAGGTGGCGCACGTTAAACGGTCTTTAGTATTCACTCAGTGGATTCGGTTTACGGTATTAAAAAGGTAGTCAGCTGGCCAGTGAGACCGATGAGCATGGAAGACTGTAGCAGAAATAAATGGCTGTCAGTCTTCCTCCCGGTTGTGTCAGTGGCCAAAGGCAAGGTGAGAACTTCTGAATGTGTTGCCGGGGGCCACAGCAACATAACCAACACGACTTAGCATTATATCCTAGTTTCGTTAGTTAATTTTTAATTTGGTATGCAACAGACCCTCTTTGTAGACGCCTTCCTCTGGTAAGTACAGTATTTACTAAGCCTGCAGTTAATTTAGTTACCTTTTTAACTTATTAAAAACTGTACTTCTCACTCTTAAAGAATACAGCTTACAGGAACAGATATTGTGTATGAGGATATCTATAAGTTTTGGGGCCATGTTGTGGTCAGGCTCATTGATTTATGAGTATACAATCAAAATTAGATGGGTTTTGCTGTTCTTCTCCAGTTATTCAGTGTTTTGCACCCATGCTTGGTGGCCTTGTTTAAATCCAGTGGAGAACAAATGGCATATTAATATTAAATTATGGAGTAGACAACCAAAGGCCTGATGCGTCAAGCTATTTAATATGAGGGCAATAACCCAAGTCTTGGATTTGGTCACATTTTAAAGGTTTAAGGGTGAAAGTGATGTTATCCTTTATAATGGTAGAGTTTCCTGACAAAAACAGCCCTCATCTTCATCAGGATCCTCCTGTTCCAGTCTACCAACTAATATCCAACTCAGACCATTATGAACTGTTATACGCCTAACTATATTATAAAGAACATACCATTCCTTGTGCTTTAATAGCATAAACTTTCTGCTTACAATAGGAATAGAAACTTTGCTTTTTAAATGCAATTTGCTACTGCTGTTGTCTGCCAGAGAAAATGAACAATACAAATGAAATTGCCCTTATTATTGCTTGGGTCAATAGGACGTTTCCTACAGGTTTTCACTGGAGGGTAGTTTTAGTGGGCGGTAGACTCTCTAGGCTTGGAGGCCAGCAGATGTGGAATTTCAGAGGTGCTCAAAATGGGTGTTACTGCGAGTGCTCCAGCGGGTCACTGCCTGGTTCGCATCCAGGACGGTTGGGTTGCGTACCTCAGAGCAACTGTCTTAGAAGCTTCAGTCAGGAAGTTGCATATCTACAAGCAAATATTTATGGATGCAAATGTATTTAACATGAATGCCCAAAAAAATTACACCAAGGTCAGAACTATAGGCAGGTTTGAGAATCTGGATAATATAACTCTATGGAAAGGCTGGCCTTGTTTATTTGTACTGTGATTATTAAAACAGTTTTAAGCCTGTAGTGGTGTGGATGGCAAGAGTAAGGTTTTTTTTCGGAGGATAATTAATTCAATGCTGCTGCAGAATGCTTTGCGTTGTTTATATTTTTACAGCGGTACACAGAAATAACCTGAGTCCTCTGTCACCATAAAAATTACTTTAAAAATCTAGGGGTGCAGATTGATAATCATTTTTGTCACCAGAAGCATCATATCCTTGCTTGAGGCACAAATGAATGTGGTTTCATATCAATTATGAGGAATGTGTAGCGCTTCTCTTGTATGTTACAGGCTGTGAGGTCAGGTGTTCCTGCCTTTCAGATTTTGGATGCTTTAATCTCCCCCGAACTGGGCGGTTTTGCTCGGGAAAGGGTTAGTGTAGGTACAATGCTGTAGGCTTTTAGCTGGTGATTGTTGGAGTGTGTGTGTGTGTGTGTGTGTGTTTGTGTGGGGGGGGGGGGGTAATGAGGTAACAGTACTGCTGTCTGTTCTGGGAGACAGTAAGGGCCAACGCTTTGACAATGGCATTATTGTCCCCAGGCTGGGACTCGTGCGGGGAGGGGGGCTGTGACAGCAGAGTCCCTGTGTGTTAGGTTGCAGCCTACAGCTCTCAGTGGTTGTACTCGCCCATGGCGGCCTCCCTCCCCCTGCACATGGCAAGCACTACTAAGCACATCTGTCCAAGGTCCGTTTCCTGCACCCCCCCCCCCCCATCCTTGCAAAATGCTGCTAATGGTGACTTAATCTGACGACTCTGAGGTCCGCCATTACTCATGCCCCCCGCCCCCAAGTTCGCTTAAGTGTGGTGGTGCCGCTCTGTCCGGTCGGAGACGTAAAACCAGCCACTGGAGTTTGGCCCTCAAGGACACACGGAGCGAGACCCCCCCTAGCTCCGCCTTTCCTCACCTAGCTCTGCCTTTCCTCCCCTAGCTCCGCCTTTCCAATTGCATTTGTATTCAACCAGATATACTGTTCAAACAGTTTTCGCCGTTAATGATTCCTCTTGTGCTCTTTATCACAAACAGCTTCCTCGTAATGCAATGCAAAAAATAGCCTGTTGCAGTGACAGCCAGTTGATAAAATCAGAACGCTCTTTGCTTGCGGCTGAAGTAGCTCGGTGTATGCGGAACAACTGGCGAGTTCAGTCCAGTCTGTAGGTTAGCATTGTACTGTGTAAAACGCAGGGCAGCCAGAGAAGCCAGGCTGACGTTTAGGCTCCGGGTCTGATTGTGAATCCGTCTCATGTGGTCGTGAGTACAGTGGGCTCTTTGATTAGACCTTGAATGTGTGAATTCCTCCCTTGTCTGTGCAGTGCATGTAAGTTCACACCAAACGTGCCTGTTCCGCCTCAGGTGTGCTGTGGCGCTTGTGGCATTTCTCGTGTTATGGGGATCGTTTGAGCATGTCTGGGGTGTCCCGTGTGACACGGCCCTCGGTGCTGCTCTCTGCAGACCCGGCCAGGGTCCCTGCTTGTAGCTCTGATGGTCTGCGCGACCTTCTTTGCTGGCTCGGTTTGAGGAAGCCTCAGCTGTACAGACCCAGGGCTGTGTGGCCCATTCATTGTGCTTCTCTGTCTCCGCTTTTCTGAGTGCGCTTTGCTCTTTCTGATGGCAAAGGCATTAACATTGATTAAGTCTTGCTGATGCTGCACTTTTCTGTTCCTTTGAACTTTTTAATAGGATGTGTCGTGTAAACATCATAGTACTCCTGCATGAAGCAATTCTCTGCCGTTTGGGATGGCCTCACGTAAAACCCACACCACAGTCTCTCTCTGTCTCTCCTTGTTTCTGTGTATCGCTCAGTCTCCCTCTGAGCATCCAGGAGAGCACAATGGACCAAATGTCTGCATGTTCTGTCTCCACCGAGTGACTCCTTGTAAGTGATGTTGCCCACTAAACTCCATAACTAACAGCTAGTAACAGCATAGATACAAACTACTACCCTTGTGCTCAGGCATATAGAAGTTGCGGGGTCATTTTTTAGGGAAACGTGTATGTGGCTTTGTGTTGATGCAAAAATATGCCTTTGGTGTATATTTAACACAGTCCAGTCGCATTTCTGCCTTTCTCCTTGTGCATTAAGAAGCAAAACAAAAACAGAGATGCGTTGTGCTCCGTTATGTGATCATCCTGTTTTGAAAGGCACACCAGGGGGAAAAAAATGACTTCATCACCTCCTTATATATTATGCGTCCAGTCATGTACCTGTGTCAGATGTGTCGCCATAGCAACAGTGATTTTAAAAACTGGGGCTACGGCATTCCAGGAGGACATGCGCATTCAGTCCATTTCTGCACCGTTCCTGGCATTGGAGCGGGCTGCATGCTTTCCTGGGTGTTTGTTCTGTGACGGTACCGCCGCCTCACCATCTCCTCGCTGCTGACACACACTGTGGTTGCAGTGGTGTCATTCGGCCGCGCGTCCGCTTGCATTCTGGCTCGTCGTACAGCACTTCCTCTTTCGCCAGACGCGCAGCTTGTTTTCTACGGCGGTTTCGTTGCAGGAGGAGAGCATCAGAAAGGCTGATTTACCCACACATTCGATGTCCTTTAGATTCCAGCTTCCAGCTATCTATATACTTAGGAACACCCCGCAAACAATTTTGAACCGTTTGTCAAAGGCTGTTTTATCTTATCAAAACAACCGAATAATAAAACAATGTCCTAAGCAACTTCAGCTTAAATGCACTTTGGGCGGGGGGTTTGAACCGCATTGATCTGGCAAAACAGGACCTATAATGAGATAAAACACCATGACAAAACAATTTCCTGTAAACACAGCCCTTGTTTGAGATACTTAATCCCCCAGCACCCCCCCCCCCCATCCTTTTTGAACCCTTTTCATCTCAGAAAGAGTGGTCCAGCCTTAATGGGGACTTTGCATTAGCACTGACCTCACCAGCCCCATGAGGAATGTCCTTTTCAGTTACCTGCACGCTAGTATTTTCACCTTGTATTTCTGGACTGCAAACATCCATTGTAAACAGTGTTGTATATGTGTAGCAGCCATGTTGGGGTGGGATTTAGTCAGTGGTTGGTAATGGTGGCAATACAGCGGATTGACCATTAATCACTTTTACTCTGACCTTTAGCTTTCGGCAGGGATTTCAGTAGTTGTGAGAATGGAGTTTTGAATCGGCATGTCTGGCGTCTTCATTATTGTGGCTGCCGGCGCATCGTACAAAGCCGAGGGCTCGTGACCAGGGTATGCCCGTGAGCCGGCTGCCGTGCCGCGTCGCGTGCCATGATTGTGTCGGCGCGATTCCTTATCCAAACTGTTACGTAGCTGAGTAAACACGGTGAGCGTTGACTGGTGGTGGGGGTGCGCAAGTAGGCGGAATCATAGGGAAATTCATACAGACGGCCGTGGGGCCTGGCAGTTTTTTTTTTGTCTGGGGCTGCATGAGTGAGCAGACTGCCAGGCGGTGGAAACTAAGACAAGGTAAGCACTACTCATGGATGCGTAATAGCCATGAAGTGCCGTGAGGTATAAGCTTGGCTAATTTGGCTAACATGGGGGACCTGGAGCCTATCCTAGGTAGCATGGGGGTGCACCCTGGACTACGAGGAAACGATCGTAGTCAGATGAAATCCTCAACATACAGGGAGGACAAGCAGACTAAACATGCTAAGCTAATTCATGTCATTAAAATAATCAATGAGAGGATTCCTTTCTCAGCAAATGCATCCAGTTCATTAACCCCTATGCTGCTTGCTGGATACAGTGCACTCACACTGGCCAACTGGCTGGCAGGAGTGGGGAATCTGCTATTGAACGGTTCTATATCCTGCTAAGGGAAAATCACAATGCTGCCATCTATAGTTTGTTCTCTCCAACACTGGCTATCTTCGGCTCCGTCGTGCTTGTGTGTCAGTCTGTGTGTGTGTGTGTGTGTGTGTGTGTGAGTTAGGAGGTGCTAGTTCTGGGCGCCAAGGCCCCGTGTTTTGCTGACCACATCTTCCGGCCCCCCTCTAGCATGCGCAGCAGCTGTGAGACGCCCTGATCCCTGCAGCCGCAGTACCAGACGGCGAAGCTAGGGGGCCCCGTCGGCATGTCCAGCCCGAGCAGCAGCCCCGAGCGGGAGGGCGCCGGCGAACAGGCCGAGTGCCCCGCCTCGCCTGCCGGCCTGACGCCGCCGTCTATGGGCAGCCCCGTCCTCAGTCCCGATTCCTCTTCCCATTGCGGCGCACTGTCCGTTCCCGCCGTCTCTCCTGCCGACTCCGAGAGCCTGAGTCCCGACGAGCTGGAGCTGCTCGCCAAGCTGGAGGAGCAGAACAGGTGATTCGGTTCGTCGTCACATCATGTCCTGGCCACACCGGTGTGCTGGTTTTGCTGGTAACGCGCACCAGTGGATGAGCAGTGGCGTGTTCTTCCATCTCACACGGGCCCCCCAGTTTTTGAAATCGGAATGGCCGAGCTGTGAGAGCCCCTCCAGCGTCCTCCACGGTTCATGCCGCGCCCCCCCCCAGCCTGCTCTCCAGCTCGGGCACCTGCCCGGCTGCCACAGACGCGCCACTCTGTTCCTGCGGCACATCCGCACAATGGGCCCCGTATTCCAGTTCCGGAACATTTAGTCCCTTTGCCGGGAATCGCTTTGGATACCGGCGGCTCCATATGTTGTCAGTTGCATTCACGTTAGTGCAAGGCTGCATCAAATAAGGCTTATTTTGTCTTTGTTAGTAATTAAATTAGCATTTCTGTGTTTCCTGGCACAGGGACAGCAATTGGTATTTGTCAGTTTATGGAAATCGCAGTCAAATGTTCTAAATGTATCTGATCTGTCCAATGCTTTTTGTCCCTTCTTGCACTCACTCTTTCTCTCTCTCTCTCTCACACACACACTCACACACACACACACACACACACAGGCTCCTGGAAGCTGACTCCAAGTCGATGCGGTCGATGAGCGGCTCCCGCAGGAATTCTGGCTCCTCACTGGTGTCCAGCTCCTCGGCCTCCTCCAACCTGAGCCACCTGGAGGAGGACACCTGGATCCTGTGGGGCCGCATTGTCAATGAGTGGGAGGTGTGGAGACGCAAGAAGGACAAGCTCCTCAAGGTGAGGGAGCGGCGGGAGCGGCGAGCGAGGCTCCGGCGGATGTGTGTGTTTTGATATGTGATCCACGGCTCAGCATGAGGGGCTTCCAAGTCCTGGAATCAAGCTCAAGCAGAGAGGATCTTCTTTAAACCCTGGAAGGGATCCTGAGGTCAAATCTTAAGAGTAACTGTCCAGTTGTTTGACAGTGAAGATTATGACGAATGTATTTCCATTTGGAAAATTTGTGGTGTTGAAAACGATGTGTAATTCATCATTTACATTCATCAAGGGGGGGGGTTAAAGTGAGGGCTGGCCCAGATAAACCATATGTTCAATTGGGCACCACATCCTCGACGGGGGGGAGGGCACCAAGCAAAGCACCCCCCTCCCCCATAAGCCTCCCCCCATCCAATTCATAACGGTCTTTTAATAAGTTCATGTGATTTTATATCTAATATATGACGGCATGTTATTTTAATATAGCACTCACTGAAAAGCCTGTGTGATGTTTTCCCTGTGAATTCCGTGAGCCGCCAATCGGCTGTTTCTTTTGTGATATCATATGTGCTTTTGCCCAGGGACACTTGATACTCTTAATCTGACCCTGAGTGTCCCCGCCCCCCCGCCCCCCTCGTGTGTCATGCTTTCCCATGGATGCTTTTTCACGCCCCCCCCTGCGCGCAGGAGCTGATCCGGAAGGGCATCCCGCACCACTTCCGGGCCATCGTCTGGCAGCTGCTGGGGAACGCCACGGACATGCCGGTGAAGAACCAGTACTCTGAACTGCTGAAGATGTCGTCCCCGTGCGAGAAGCTGATCCGCCGCGACATCGCCCGCACCTACCCGGAGCACGACTTCTTCAAGGGCCAGGACAGCCTGGGCCAGGAGGTGCTCTTCAACGTCATGAAGGTGAGGTCCGCCCCAAGGGGGCCGCACTTTACCGCTGGCATCTGCTCGGACGACTCGCGGCACCGAGGACCCCTTGTCTGTGTACCTCAGGCGTATTCGCTGGTGGACCGGGAGGTGGGCTACTGCCAGGGCAGCGCCTTCATCGTGGGATTGTTGCTCATGCAGGTGAGCCTCTCACCCCCCACCCCCCCCATACCTCACTCGATCACTCCTGTAAATGGCCATAAACTTTTAATTACACAGTAATATATACACTGAAAACCTGTGCAGACGCTGTTCCTCTAAATGCATTTTAAACACATGCTGTGGTGTAGCTCTGTGGCACAGATAACACTGACTATTGCCCCCCCCCCGCCCCCCCCGGCCCTCCAAGATGCCGGAGGAGGAGGCGTTCTGCGTCTTCGTGCGTCTCATGCAGGAGTATCGCCTGAGGGAGCTCTTCAAGCCCAGCATGGCTGAGCTGGGCCTCTGCATCTACCAGTTTGAGTACCTCCTGCAGGTAGGAGCTGCCCGTCGCAGCCTTCTGCCACTAGGGGGGGCACCACCCCTGCTTCCCGTATGTCTTGTTCCGTGGTCTCTGGGGGTGCATTGCCGCTGCCTGAACCCCTAGTCCTAGTAGATTGACCGCCCCTGTGATGAACAAATTAATTTTGCAAACGAGAGCAGGCTGTTCAAATTCCCTTTGTGCATTTGCATAATCAGATGATTGTATAGAGTGCAGATTGTATGCCAAGTATATAGTGCTGAATGAATTTGCGGATTGTGCCTCTACTAAATTACAGGCTCCCTCTGTTGCTAAGAGATGCCCTGTATGGAAAACATTTTCCAAACTCTCTCATCTACTTTTTTGCATAAGTGTTTTCTGTGGTCTGATATTCCCGACCTCCCTTCTGGTTTCCAAATATAACTGAGTTAGTACTGCTCTCATCAAGGATCATTTTTGCTCATTTGTCTTTGATGACAAGCAAATCTGTCCTTGCATAGCAGCTGCTCCTGGAATTGAAATCCATCCATCCATCCATCTTCAAGTAGCGTTTGACCTTTGACCTTTGACCTTCGACCCCTTTCCTCCCCAGGAGCAGCTGCCTGAGCTGAACGTGCACTTCCGCTCTCAGAGCTTCCACACCTCCATGTACGCCTCCTCCTGGTTCCTGACGCTCTTCCTCACCTTCCTGCCGCTGCCCGTGGCCACGCGCATCTTCGACATCTTCATGTACGAGGTCGGAGATCCCAAGCTCACCTGTCTGTCTGTCTAGGATTATAATAATGACAATGACGATCAGCATCTCTACACAAGACATACTGTATATTTAATAGATACTTAATATTGTTAAAAGGAAAACAATGATGAAATTTGCTGCAGTCAGATTTGGTGTGATAAATATTAAATTGTGAATCAAACCTGCAGCTAAAGTAGAGTTGTTCTGGTGAGATAGTTGTACTGAAAGCAGCAGTACTGCGGTGTGTCATTGTGGTGCCTGTAGGGGGTGCTGTAGTGGTACCTCGACTGCTGTATGCTCATGTGCGGGATCTCCCACAGGGCCTGGAAATCATCTTCCGTGTGGGTGTGGCCATCCTGCAGTACAATCAGACGGACCTCATCCAGCTGGACATGGAGGGAATGTCCCAGGTACCCGCCCTCGATATTCCCTGGTGGTCCTCTCCCATCTCCTTGGGTATTCGTTTGCAATCAGGTCATTTGGCGAGAAAATGAGGAAAGATGACATTATTGGAGAGTTGCAGAGTCACCTAAAAACAGCTCCCTCTGGACTGGAGGAGTACATTACATTACAGTACATTAAAACAATGATGAAATTTGCTGCAGTCAAATCAGTGTTTTTTTTTTTCTGCTTTTGGAAAATGATTTTACTGAATCAGTGTGAACCTTGGGCTGAGTGATGCCCCTGCTGTGTTCAGGAGCAACCGGGATTCAGGGGTCTCAGTTATCAAGAACCGTTCCTAAATGCGTGTGCACGAATCGCCAGTACGCACAGGGAAGCATTTATCACTCACGCGCATGAACTGTTGTAGAATGTTAACTAAATCTGACGCATTCTAAATGTGACTGCATGTTCACGGCTAATTTAAATGAATGAACGCCCTCGAGGAATCGTATATCGGCTTATAAATTATGCATAATGCACGTCAAACCGCAGACTGTAGAACATGTTGGTACAGAAATTCACAGAGGATGAGGTGGAAGTTTTGTCGGGTGTAATAAACAATCAAAAAACAAATGGGTACAGTTTGGAAACTTTTTACCAGTGGCTTGTCAAAGAAAGAGAATGACCTAAGATGGGGACAGGTGACATATGCAGTTAATGCAGTGTCACCTGTGATGAGAATGAGGGCTGAGGTGAGGATGTGATTCGACCTGAAAATGGCCACCAAAAAAGAGATCGCAGCCCAGAGTTTCCATGTCTGTGCCACAGTGGGCGCTGCCCAAGTACCATGTCAGTGTCACCTCTGCATGGTCAAATAGCTGCCATCATAGGCACAACATCCCTAACAGGAATCATTCCGGATGGTGACATTGACAGTGCAGCTCTATCACCCATGGATGAGGCCGGCCAATCAGAAATAGGCACGATACTTTTATGGTGGCGTTTAACTGGCTGCACCAAATAATCTGTGTGTCATATGCCAACAAGTGACTGTTGTCGAAAATTAATTGTTGCAGACACATCACTTGTCATGTAAAGCATATGTTTAGTGACAGTGATATGTGGCTTCTTAGGGTAGCGACCTTGTATGACTCTGGAATGATTCCTTGTCATTAGCATGAACTGCCTGCACTGTGTGTGAACATAACTAGATCATTCTGTCTGTCTGTCAAGTTTGATAATTAAGTGCGAGTCTGTGCGTATCCTTTTAGCCAATCGGTTTGCTTCAGTTACGCTTCTCTGCCACTAGGGGTCTGTGTGCGCACATGATCGGCATGATCGGGAGTGTTTCTAAATAAAGGCACATTTCTATGGACAGGAAAAAAAAAAAGATGTGTACCATCGTATGCATGAAAATGTGTGTATGCATACAGTTTATGCACAAAATGGTTCATATGCAAGGAAAATGAGACCCCAGGATCCTCAGCCACCATTACCTGGAATAAACTTCCTTTTGGGTGCACTGCTACACTCAAACACCAGATGGCGCCCTGCTGCCGAACATTACACTGCATTTTCAGAAAACACTGGTTTAAGTTTTTAGGGGAGGGATATAGGAAAAACTACAATTCCAAAGAGTAATTTTATATCAAAGTTTAGAAATTATTATTCTGCTCTTGCTACGTTTTTTCTCCGTACTGTAGTACATCAGGAATGAAAAATTCTGTGTTTTTATCTATGCAAATAGAAAATGAATAACAGATTTTAAGAGCTGGCAGCTTGCTTAACAGCTCTAGCTGTAATACAGTGTAATTCAGCATGAATGCTTTTCTGTTGCATTGCCAGTGTTGGCTGTCAGACTTTTTCCCACAATGGCCATGGATGGCGTTTTGGATGAGAGCCACCTTGTGTGATGAGCAGTGTGTGGGCTGCGTGTGAGTGTCTGACTTCCCGGGTGATCATCCCGTGTCACGCGCGTTTCTCCCGGCAGCACTTCCAGAGGGTGATCCCGCACCAGTTTGAGAGCTGCCCCGACAAGCTGATCCACAGGGCCTACCAGGTCAAATACAACCCCAAGAGGATGAAGAAGTAAGAGCGCACTCTCCCACCCGGGTTTTTAAGAGGGACGAGGCCTCGGCCCCCACCCTGCCGAACGCTTACCGCGTCTCTGTCCCGCCACAGGCTGGAAAAAGAGTACACCACTATCAAGAACAAGGAGATGGAGGAGCAGATTGAGATCAAGGTGGGGCGACGGTGTCTGTCCGCAGCTAAGGGGCTAAATGGGAAATGCTGGGCCAGTCTGAATAAGACCAAATAAGTGTTTGACAAATAGGGACATGGAAGTAGAAGGTGGGAGATACTGGAAGGAGTCCAGGCTCCGGGAATCTGACCTGGTGCTTTTAGGCATAAATACGGGGCCAGTAACCGCTGTGTTTGTGGGTGACACGCTACGTTAGAAGACTAACTGAAGTGAAGTTAAAGGGTGACGTTTATAGGAGAAATGGGACCAGGCTTGGGGGGGCCTCTCTCACTGTGCGTCCCCCCCCCCTCTTCGTCTCGTGTGTAGAGGCTGCGCACGGAGAACAGGCTGCTGAAGCAGAGGATCGAGACCCTGGAGAAGGTGAGGGGGAGCGGGGTGGGGTCTGACAAGGCTCGCCGCATCAAATGCAGCTATATACAGGGTCGTATTCGCGGGGGGGGGCAGACCTCTACCCTGCAATATTTAATTTCAGTTCATTCGCCCCCAACAATAAATAGACCTTTGCAATTAAATTATTAAGTTGTGCCCCCCCCCCTCTACCAAGTATAAAACTCTCTCCTACCCCCTTTGCTGTAAAACACAATAAGCATCGTTTACATGTCGGTCCATCTGATGCAGACCCCCTTAAGTCTTATGTCTTGGGTTAATTGATGCCTTAGCTGTAAGTCTGCTGCTCATTAATACACCATTCACCTGATTTAATTTATTTATTGTATTATTTAAAAAAACTGGATCCCTCAGCCTGCATTCACTGCATAGCCATTTAACCGGCCAGTTAGATCAGATGCCCGTAAAGAACTTTCACCCAAGTTTTCATACAGGGCTTGCAGAGTTCTGGTATTTTATTTTACTTTTTAAAGATGGAACCATCCGGCTTATGAAATGCGCTGATGCTGGAGTGGTTCTCTGTGCGTGTCTCATGCGACCAGTGAGCCTGCCGTGACTGGCTGCAGGACGGCACCCGCTGGCTGATACCATCGCATTGTGAATTGCGGCTTCTACGCCGCTGCTCCTGTCGCGCAGCCTCAGCTTTATTTCTCGCTCAGCATTGCAGTCAGAAATGCAGTCGGCTTCCCCCTCGTCGCCGTGTGTGTGTGATCTTATGAGGTGAATAATGTGATTGACTGTGATGAAGACGTGCGATGCAGTGGGTCTTTTCCCTGCCTTTTCTAGAAAGTCTAGCTGTGGATCTATTTTCCTCTTTTCCTCTCCTTGTTCTGTAAATCATGTCTTTTTCTCCGATACCTTCTCTCTTCTGTCTCTCTCGCTTTCCCTCGCCCCCCCCCCCCTTTCCTCCTTGTGTTGCTGTAGGAGAGTGCTGCTCTGGCAGACAGGCTGATTCAGGTACTGTGAACACCTACTGCACCCCTCCCCCCCCAAAGAATCACTTTCCTCGTCACACCCTGCATGAGAGAATGTCCGTCTGCTTGTCCAGACCACCTGTCTGTCCATCAGTCCAGCTCATCCTGATAACTTGTTGCAGGAGTTGGCTCTGCGGAGGGCAGCCCAACCCCAACCCCCCTCCCATCTTCCTATAGAGGGCAGCTTCCTACTGGGGTGTTGCAATCCAGCTGGGCAGCGGAACATCGCTGTGCCAGCTGGCAGTTTATGCTTCAGCTTGAAGGCTTCCTATAAACCGGAAGACTTTAACGCACGATTAAGGCCAACAGGGTGCTTGTAGCCACAGCACAATGTAAACATTGGCACATTATTACATATAATCAGTAATGTAGTTCAATGATGTAGTAAAATGAACAACATAAGAAATGCAAGTCGCAGTTGGTTACCCATGTGCCAGATTGCTGAACCACATCAGGACAGGAAGATGGGCTCCCTCCCGTGACTGTCCTGCTCGGCCCTCGTGGCTCCGCATGGTGCAATACCTCACGTCGTATCACGTTACTCTGCATGTCCTGCTGTGTGTTAGAAATCCTCCTCTGCTCAGTGCCGGTTTGCTCCGATGTGCTCACGCTGCATAGGCCCATGTCCCCTGGGACGGACTGGTCCCAAAGCCTGGCCTCAGACCGCACTGGGCTTTAAATCTGGAGACTTCCCAGTCCTGTAAACCTGTACTGGGGCAGTGAGGGGACCTCTGATGATCGAAAAGCGCCTGCAGCCAACCCAGCCCCGAAGGCCCACACGGGCACGTCCTCCTCTGTCTGGCTCCTGACTCTTCCCTCTGTCTTGCCTCCCCCCCCCCCCCCCCCCCACAGGGTCAGGTGACACGTGCCCAGGAGGCTGAGGAGAACTACGTGATCAAGCGTGAGCTGGCTGTGGTGCGGCAGCAGTGCAGCACGGCCAGCGAGAGCCTGGAGCGGGCGCAGGGCACCATCCGGCAGCTGCAGCAGCAGCAGGTAAAGGGCAGCCGTCATGCCGTCATGCGGACCGAACTGGGGGGGGGCGTGACATCACACCTTCAGCTCCTCTAGTCAGTGTGCTGGGCATGTTGCCAGGTCCCGTGTCACTCAGCAAACTCTTAACCCAGTGCACATCTAAAAATAGATATATATTTATATATGTTAACTACACCTCTGTGTGTGTGTGTGTGTGTGTGTGTGTGTGTGTGTGTGTGTGTGTGTGTGTGTGTATGTATATATATATATATATATACACACATGTAAGATGGCCACAGCAAAAAAGCCCCCTTAGCACTCTTGAAAATCCTGTGTTTTTTTGTTGTCTTTCGCATGTGGTCTAAGCGTTGAGGACTCATACAGGGAAATGTATTAATACCCTGCCGGCAGCCTTCTGAGAGCCGTCCGTGATGCGTGTTCTGGGAAACCGTGATCGTGGAGCAAAAAAAACAAAACAGAACTGGTGGTGTTGATTGTAAGGGTGTTTACTTGCTGGGACAGTATGTAAGAGGCAGGGGCTGAATGGCCCGGGATAGACTTAGTGTGAGAAAGGTACGAGCGGAGACCGAATTAGCTGACTTTTTATTAAATCCGCTGCTGAGCCCTGGACTGAAATCCAGCAGAGCGGGACCCCACTCTAACTGTGCCAGTTAGCCCACATCTTCAGTTATGCATTTTGGAGAAACGCAGAACAGCAGAATCGGCGTCTGCGCATCACTGGGTCTGTGTAGGTTGTGTGTGGGTACGTTTCTACCTTTAGCAAACACTTCAGTTATATTTTTGTAAGGTTTTCTGCAAATATTTCAACTTCCTGTCAGTGTTTATGTATATTCCAATCCAATCCAATCCAACTTTATTTATAAAGCACTTTAAACGGCCAGTACAGGGCCAAACTGCTGTACAGGAAATAACTTAAGAGAAATAGATAAAACGAAACAGCATCATACAAATAAGAACAAAATAAAACGCTTAATACATAACAGCCCTATATTAAAACAATATAAAACAACATATAATTAACTAAAACAAACATCTCACAAGGTGTCAAAGGCCAGGGTAAGGAGATGGGTTTTCAGAAGTGATTCAAAAACAGGCAGAGAAGAGGCCTGTCTGACCTCTAAAGGCGAATCGTCCCACAGTCTGGGAGCCGCTTCAGCAAAGGCACGGTCTCCTGTAAGCTTACGCTTAATCCTGAGTACATTCAGGAGCAGCTGATCGGCTGACCTGAGAGAGCGGGTGGGTGTGTAAGGCAGTAGCAGCTCAGAGAGGTAGGATGGGGCTTTAAAAGCAAATAAGAATTTAAAAATGAATCCTAAAAGAAATGGGCAGCCAGTGGAGTGAAGCTAAAATGGGGGAAATGTGCTCAAACTTCCGAGTGCCAGTTAAAAGACGAGCGGCAGCATTTTGCACCCTCTGGAGGTGAAGGATGGATATTTGTGTGTGTGTGTGTGTGTGTGTGTGTGTGTGTGTACAGCGTTTCCCCTACCATTATATTAAGGGGGCACCCTGCCCCCGCTTGAAGGTCAAGTTAAATTTAATTTAATTTAATTTTGTGCGCGTGCCATGTGTGTGTGTGTGCCCGTGTGTGTGTGTCCTGTGGCAGTGTGTGTGTGCCCGTGTGTGTGTGCCCTGTGGCAGTGTGTGTGTGCCCGTGTGTGTGTGCCCTGTGTGCCCGTGTGTGTGTGTGCCCTGT